ACCTTCAAGTAGCCAAATATTTTTGCTGAATGTAGTTGAGGAGGTACACCAGTGTGAAAAACTATGATTCAAACGCATTGCTACAGTTCTAGATATTTTTCAGTAAACAGTTAAAATTTTTAAATTTAAATATTTCTTTCACTTGTAATCTGTTATCACTTGGTTACACAAACTGTGTGTATTAAATTGAATTTTTATTTCCACACTTACTACAACTCTTTAACTTGAAAAACATTTTGTTGAGTAGTTCATTGTTCTGCTGTGGAAAGGATGATGTGTGTTATTTGGGCATTCATACTGTATTGTCTGATGAAATAAACATTTATTAAGCAAAAGCATGTTTCATAATTAAAAAAACACATAAAATACATCCAATCTTGGGGTCTACGACCCAGGTTTTTAAAGGTATTTAGATGATTATATGAAATTAATGGGATTTATTGCCTAGGCTTATTAGGAAAATCTCACTAGACACCTATCTGCATCTTTAACTATTTAAATTATTTTGAAAACTTGTGTAGGTGGTAAAACAACTTCTATAATTATACTCCACTCCAGATAAGAAATAACAGATTATGAGTAGTTTGTACATCAAAAATCTTTTAACTAAATATCCTCACTCATCACCTTTCTAAAGATCACAACTCCATCAAAATTTTCTAAGAGATAATAGTGTCAAGAAGGTGATACTGAAAGTAGACCCTTTCTATTATGCTACATATAGTACTAAGCAGGAGGTCATGGTTCCTTTGATTCCCGCCTGTTGGAACGCTATGTGCTAATGTAGCTGGTGTGAAGGGCCTTTTTACTTCTAGTTACATCAAGCAGGACCTGTGGGTCGATCCTGCTCATTCCCTCCCTTCTTACTAAGCCCATTTTATAGCAAAGTGAGACTTGGTTATCCTAATAATAATTACCAATTGATTATGTCTTGTGTAAGATACCTACAATGCCCCTATTGGGTACATCCTGCTACTCAGGATGTTGCAAAAGCTGTATGCATAATTAACAGTTTTATGACAGCATCTGTAATTTTTGCTTATCAGAAACAGAAATATCAGTGCAAGGTTTCTTGTCGTGTGTTCCTGACGTTTTCTCGCTGTGCTTCTTAATCTGCATTGTTATGCAAAACATTCCTGCCTTTCAAAGCTTCTCCCTCGACCTTGCCTGCGTGCTACGTGCACCAGACTTGAAAGAGCCCAGGGTTTTGCATTTTAGGGATCTGCACTGTGGTCAAGGCAGACATTATTGTTGAGGTAGGGCAGTCCAGGCTCCCGTAACAGTATCATGGATTGAGTTACCACAGGGAGTTGACAGGACAAAAGTATTCTTTTTGTTAGGGGTAGAGTACAAGAGTCAACTACAGAGTGAGCTGCAGCTGATATGGTGGGTCTTCTCTAGATCGGCTAAATCAACTGCTGGTGTATCAATCTCAGAATGTTGATTTTCAGTGTAATGAGATGTAGTCTTATTTGTTTGATGGATAGAAGTTCCAAAGGACAGTTGTACAGGGCTGACAATAGAGGGCTGTTAAACTTTAATGTCCACCTATTCAAATTTAGCATTGTTAAATAAAGAGATGGGTGTCACCCAGAGCACACCAGATATTAAATTTTGACTTCTAGGGGAAGGAAACTAGGCAATAGATCCTCTGGTCATGGACCATCCTCATATTTTGAGGCTGAATAGAGTTAGTTAACAGAGAAGACTATAGGGTTATAAACTGGGAAGAATCTGGTCTATTTGTTGTCTGTCTTCTGTTAATTTTGTCAGCTGAAGATAACTGAGAACTGCAGTAGAACTGCATGTGTGAACTTGGGGACCTTTGTGTTGCTCAACACAGCTTGACACTCTTTACTCCACAACTCTGCCCAACTTCAAAGGCTTAAAACCCTAATGGAGCCCATCTGGATCTGTGACAACAGCACATTGTAATAGCTTTCCAACCTCTTTATTGGGTGCAGATGAAAACAAATATTGATTCCCGAATTACTATCTTGAAAAGCAACAAAAAATCTAAGAAGGTACCCAAATTTCAGACTCAGGTAACAGAAAACTGACAGATGCTTTAGATAAATGGAATGATGTAATGCTCACTGTGTCTTCTAGTACTTCCTACAATTCATGAACGTATATTTTTGTTAAAATTGTTCATCTGTAAAGGGAGTGCAGAAGATGCAATATTTCTATGTAAGTAAAGTATTGTATGTTCTCTACATTTTAATTACTGATTAATTCAGATTGGCTTGGAGAAGAACACTGTATGCTGAAAACTTGAAAATAAGAAAGATAACAATAAACAGCTGTACACCAAGTTGGGGTTAGGTGTGTAGTGGGTGTTCAACATGGTTTACAGATTTAATTATTGATATGCTATTGGTATGATATTATCGATCTTTTGTTGTTGTTTTTCAAGGTAGTAACTGAGATCAACATTTTTTTTTCATCTGCACCTGCTAAGGTGCTGTTGTCACAGATCTAGGAGTTAGTAGTAATTAGCATGCCATTTTACTTCTGAGGTTATGGATTATTGTAATTTGTGAAAATCTGCCATTAATGAGAAATGATGCAAAGGAACCTAGAGAATTCAGAATCATGTACAGAAAATTACAAAAGACTCAATATGGACAAGCTATTGCAATACATGTGATATGTATTATTCTGAAATGTACTGAAAAGAAGAAAATTAGTAAGCAGTAATAATAAGAGTACTGGGGTGATAATGAACAGTAAATTAAGAGATAAATTCACTAGACATTGACAGTTAAAATGTATTTTTCAGCTGTAGAATAGTTCTTTGTGACTGCCTGCCTAGATGGGCCACGCTGAGAGTGCCTTACTCAGGACAGGTTTCATGAAAAAGGGCAGACAAACTCTGAAACTATTGGTTTACACTATCTTTAGATTCACCAAGCCAGTAAGAAAACAGTTGCAGTAGTACCCCACTCTTTAACAAGAAGCCAAACACAATCCCCTTCAGGTATCCCATGAAGTAAGGGATCAATGAGGAGCAGAAGAAGGTTGTGATGGTGCCCTTCGAGAACTGGACCCCAGCCTTCCACAGGGCCCATGCTCGGAAGTCTAAGAAGTACATCCTGCTGACTGACACCCTGAGGGCCCTGAGCTATGAGGTCTAGCTTCGTGCCCTATTAGTGGAAGTTCTGTGTGTGGGGGACCCCTACAAAGAGCCAGTGCTAAGAGCATGCAGTGTTTCAGTGCTATACCTGGTTCATGAGACAGCTGATGGTGGTTTAGAGACATCTATATGGAGTATGTCATGGGCTACCAACAGTACCAGGATGAATGACTTGAGACTGCCAACAAGGGACATGGCCAGGGAAACCACTCACTTCTTTCTCTAACAGACAATATATCTTCCCACAAGAGACACACGAGACTGCCGACATAGGACATGGACAAGTGATTGAGACCGTTGATGAGAGATGTGGCCAGGGAAACAACCCACTTCCTTCCTTCTGTAGCAGACCATATATTCTTTCTCAAGAGACACATGAGAACGACACTGAGAGAGATGGTCAGGAAAACAAACCGCTTCCTTCCCCGACTGACTATGTATCTTCCCACAGGATACACATGAGACCACTGATAAAGTACATGGATAAATGAATGAGACAACCAACAAGAGACATGATCAGGGAAATAATCACCCACTTCCTTCCCTGATTAATTTTGTATCTCTTCACTGAAATCCCCACAAGATGCTGACAAACCAAGGGACGTACTCCACTGAGGGAGGCACTCCAGCCATATGCCTACATGTTTAACTGCCACAGATTGTGACTTTATACACTTTATGTTGGCGTCCCGAGGACATTTATTTATTGCTGCTTCAAAAAATTCACCCACCTTAATTCAGGACAACACTGGTTATGCATGATATGTGTCTTGTTAAGCACATAAACCGATGCTTGTATTTCCTCATAACCCAGGCTTGACCCCAGATGTATAATGCCTTCCTTTTTAACTTATCTTGTAAACTTTATTTGAAACAATCACTTGAATAAAATCTGTTCCTATTCATTCAGGTTTATTGAATTTATTCACATAAGGTAATTAGCCAGTAGTTGATTATAGCAAGATAGTTAAGCTGAAAACAATGTAGATAATATTATTAGCTTCTTGTAGTGTTTCACAACTTGGATTTTAAATTTAACTGGATAAAATTGCATACGAAGATCTGTGTAAACAGAAACAAATACACTTAGCAGCTATCCTTTGGTTCTTATTAATATAAATAAATGAGTTGGGGATTGATAGTTTTAATTACATTTCTTTGATACCCATAAAGTAGATTGTCTTGATTACAAATTGTAATGCTTCCTGTTGTTATGGGGTTATAGACTGATTGGTTGGTCTGCCAGCATCACATTCTTTTACATGATTATAACACAAAGCCCATGTGGGGTATTGTATTAGCTTCTGGGCAACATTTAAGTAGAAAGATACTGATAAAGTGGAATGAGTTAAAATATAGGTAATTAAAGTGATGATGGGGCTTGAGAGGTTGATTCGAGGACAGTCATAATGTTTTGATCCAGAGAAATACAAACCATCTAAACTCTTTTTAAGGCTAAAGAGAATAAAAATGTAAAGTGTCTTACTCAAGAAAGTGCAAAGGCATTATGGTAATATATATATAACAAGAAATAAAAAAAGACAGTGAATGTTCAGATTTTTTAAAGGGGATAAATATAAAGAAAGGAGAAGTAATAGGAAGAGATTTAGAAATGGAAAACTGGAGCTGAATATTAGGAATTACTTTTTTGCACTGAATTGAGCAGGGCAGGAAGATAGTATCTAAAGAGAAGGGATGAAAACTTAGTTTCTTGCGACTTTTAAATGTAGCTTGCAGAAAATGCGAAAAACAATCCTGTATTAAGAAAGAGATGTACAGTTACTTGGTTGTTGTATCTCAATTTATATGATTCTATAAAGTGTGTGTAGTTATTGTGTAACATTTGTTACATTGTTTTTTACAGGAGAAACACAAGCTTGAGTTAGAAGACATGAGGAAAGCTGGACATGAAGCTCTGACTATTATTGTGGAAGAATTTAAGGTAAATTGCCCCAGCAGGACAGTTACTTGGATATTGTTTTAATTTCATATTTATGTTAGGATAATTAGGACTTCACTCAGTAGTTGGTATGAAGGTTACACAACTCTTCCCTGAAGACCTTATTTCACTGGCTTATAACTTTGCCAAACTTTGACCATTTGGTTGAAATTTTCCATGTCTTTCTCAGGCTGATTTAAAAAAAAAATCAACCAAAACAGTTCAAGCAAATTCTGACTATGAGGCTAAAGAAGAATATATTATGTCACCTATTAAAAAGATTTGGCAACTATTTTAAACAGCTCTATTATAAGTTGATACCTACGGTTTGGAGTTAGACACTTGAAACTTTAACAGGTTAACTGATTAATTGGGATTTTACATCTCTAATTTTAGTGACATGATCATTTGGGGAAGTGTGTTGGGCTGGAGATTACTTCTATGTTGTTGCTGTCTGATTGTTCCTGCTGTTTTGCTTGTAGAGATGCTGCCATGTTGACTTAGGACAGGGTTCTGAGGAGAGTGCTGCTGGTTGCCTGTGTAATTCAGATAGACTTGTATTTTTCTTTTTCCAAAATCTCACTAAAGAAGAAAGTTCATGTCTCTTGCAGGGTTTGCTAAATTCACATATCAGCCTCTGTCTTTCATTGTCTAAACATCTTTATGGAATTGGCTTGGCAATATTTCCATCCAGTCACTATACAGTCTCCTAACATATATGCACTAGGATGCAGTATTTCCTCTAATTTTCCCCACCCTTTTGTGGAATGAATTTTATGTGAACTAACATGGAAGTGATGTGCAACAATGTGCTGACAATGACTCTCATTTTTGTGCACATAACAAAATTAATATGGCGGAAGAGGTGTCAGGTGGTTCTGAGCATAGAAGGGGACTGAGTCTTGGGGTAGAGGGTTGGGGTATAGCTTTGTCTGGGGGTACAGGCTTTGGGTTGGATCTGGGTATGAGGAACTTGGGTGGAAGAAAAGGTTAGGGTTCAAAGGCTCTGTCTGAGGGTGTGGACTCTGGAGTGGGGCTGTAGATAAGGGGCTCAGGGCTAGGACAGAGTTGGGGTGCAATGGTTCTGGGGTTGTGGGCACTGGGGTGTGGCTAGTGCAGAGGTTGGGGTGCCGGTGTGTATGGGGGCTCCCCGGCCAGGCTGCTTTGTTCACAACAGGAGTGTGGTTGGGCTCTGGGCTGCCTGGACCATGGTCTGGGATACCTCAGCCATGGCAGGTGGGGATCCAGGGTGCTCTGGCTGTAGCAGGTGAGGATCCAAGCTGCTCCAACTGCCCAGGGGCTCTAGCTATGGCAGGTGGGCCATAGCAGAGGGAGCTGGAGCTGGGTCAAATTTGCTTTCAGGCCTGGGGGAGAGGTGCCTGGTTTAGGCTGTTGCTTTGCCAGTCACCAGCTAGAGAATAGGTCCCAACAGAGCTTTAGCTAGACAGATGTGCAACTTACTGGGATTTTGGAATTCATTGGTCTAATTACTTTTGTCTTTATGGCAGGAAATTCTCAGCACATCCTTAACATTAATTTGATCTGTTTCTTTTATTTAGTCCATTTTCTGAAATATGTCTTTAGTTATACCACATTTTAATAAGAATTGAAAACTTTGCAGGGAAAATAACAATTTTGACTCATTCAAAACAAAATTTTATCACCAAATTAGTCTTTTTTTAAAATATAAATAATTCTGTGAGAATTTGTAAACCCTAATAGTTATCAAATAAGTGCATTTGGTATGATGTCTGTTTGCTCTTGGAAAGGAAGATGGTGTCTGTATCTGCACAAGTTTTTTCATGAAGCTAATAGATTTCCACTTCATACAGCTAAATTCAGTGCTTTGCTGAATTTAGCTATATGTAGTGGAAATCTATCACTTAATGAAAAACAAAACAAAACCTCATGCAGATACATCATCATCTTTTCCAAGTTATCAGATAAGGTTTTGTCCAAGTTTTGTTTTTCAGTTTGCTTAAGGAGTTGCTTAAGCATTACGGGATAACTAACTTGCATTTAATATAAATATGTCTATATTCTAATTGCCAATGTAAGAAGCCATAAGTCATCAGTTCTAGCATCTATGCTATGTTTGTATATGAAACATACTCATTTAACAATCATATCAAGCAGTTATATGAAGGCTTGCATTTAGATAGAAGACATTTGCAAGGAAGGTTATTCAATTTAAGCATTTGAGGAACAAACACATTTTCACCTTCTAATGCAAAGGAGTTGAAAGTAGTTAATATCTGCTGTAAAACATTTTTCAATAATAACTGTTCTTTGAGTGTTTTATCGGTGGATGCTTCATTCCAGAAGGCAGTGCAGTGCGTTCCACCACCATTGATTGGAGAACATTGGTAGCAGTGCCTGGGTGGGACGTTCACACACAACTGTTACCTCACAAAATTTTTAGGATGGGTTTGTATGTGCACGTGATGGAATCCCCTGGTTTAAGAAAGAAGTTTGGCTCCTGCAAGGATTCTCTACTGCATTCAGAACACAGATTCGCTCTGTACCAGGGTCCCCAAGCTCTGTCCACATACAGGACTATGGAGGCTCTACACAAGAAAGTTGAGGAGGAGCTTGGACCTGAAGCCAAATCACCAGAACTTGATTTCTCACCATCCTCAGATGAAGCTGTCATGCTACCCCTACCAACATAGGCAGATGATTTTTAGCAGTTTCAAGAATTGCTCATAAGAGTGGTAATCAGTTAGGACTTCTCCTTGGAGAAAGTGCAGGATACACAACACAAACTCCTGAAAATACTTCAATCTTTGGTGACATTAAAATTGATTTTTCTATACTGGAACCCATATGCCAGACACCTATTTCTGTTCCACCAACATGTAAGGGGATGGAATAAAAGTATTATGTACTGGTCAACAGTGTAATCTTCTTGTTCTCTGACCCACAGCCTAACTCCCTCATGGCTGAAGCAGCGACCCACAGGCAAAACAATCCCAATACTGGTTCACACCACGAGAGAGAGACTTCAAATGATATGACCTCCTGGGTTGAAAGATCTACACATCATCCCCTTTGCAATTCAGAATAACAAATTACATTGCTCTTCTTGCTAGTTATGACTCTAACGATAACAGCACTATTTTTTAACTTACCTCTCACATCTCTGTCCATGAGGACAGAGGTGCAGACTTTAACTTGGTCTTTATAGAGGGACAGCTAGTATCTAGAATGGCATTTCAATCATCTCTGGATATGTCTGACATGGCAGCCTTCACTACAGCCATTGTAGTGGTAATACATAGGGCTTCATGGCTTTCCCCATCTGGCATCCCTAAGTACCTGCCAATCAAAATGGAAGACCTACCTTTTGATGATCTTTTTTTTTTCTTCCCACTCCCAAGAGAGGCCACTCTCATACTAATATAACCCACCTCAGTCAAGACCATATAACAATGGGCAGAAACCGAAGCAGACCTCCTTAAGTGTAGACAATACCAGTCGGAATAGGCCCCATCCCAAACATTGGGAACCAAACCACAATTTTGAAGCATGGGTCAGGGGTCTGACTACATCAAAGAAGAAAGACCTCAAACGATTTAACCTCCTGGGTCGAGGCTCAAGGTCCAGTGCAATGTAAGTCTACTTCAGGACATGTGGCACCATCTCAGCTTATTGATAAACGAGAAAAAGTCTCTGTGCCAATACAAAGAATAGAGTTCATAGGAGCAGTCTTGAAATCTACCACAGCTAGAGCATCGCTCTCTCAAGAGAGGCTTGTGGCCCCACTGACCCTCCTGCAGCAACTCACTTTTGTACCCTTGACCACTGCAAGGGTGTGTCTACAGATTCTGGGCACATGCCCATCTGTACATGTGTTGTTCCCCAGCCAGACTCAGGATGAGGCACCTTCAATTGTGGGTGGCATCACTGTACGTACCAGCTAAACACTCCCTCAGTAGGGTGGTAACAGTCTCACCCCATGTGTTGAGGGCCCTAGAATGGTGGACAAAGACAGAACCCATAATGTTGGGCATCCTATTCACCATCCTCAACCACACTTGAGGGAACTAGTAGCCGACACTTCGGATTGCGATTGGGGAGCCCACATGAGAACCCTTCAAAATTAAGGGGTTTGGTTTGTTCAGGAGAAATCACTCCACATAAATATAAAAGACTCAGTGTGATCAGAAACATGTGTGGTGTGTTTCTCCCTAACCTTGTGGACAGAATGGTTAGGTGTTCTAATCAACACCATGTACTACTTATACAAAAGGGGCAGGGGCATTCCCCAGAGCTCTGCAGGGAAGCAATGAGGCTTTGAGAGTTCCATGTCCTTTATGGTATCGTGCTAGAGGTGCATCACTTTCCAGGGGTATGGAAAACAATTGCGGACTGTCTCAGCAGAGAGTTATCCTCTCACCACAAGTGGGCTGTTCAGCCAAGGTGACTACCTCCTCTCCCATAGTGAGACTTAAATTTGGTCTTGATGCAGCTCACGGGAACATTGTTCGAGCCTTTGGGCACATTCCTTATGTTGTTGCTTTCTTTCAAGACGGCCTTCCTGATTGCAATCATTTTGACTAAAAGCGTGTTTGAGCTTCAAGCCCTGATATTGAAACCTCTGCATACCTGGTTTTTCAAAAGTAAGGTCCAGCTGCTCCCTCATCCAGCCTTCCTTCCTAAGGTAGTCTTCCATGTGAAACAGGACACTTTTCAGCTAGCCTTTTATCCCAAGCCTTATGCGACCAATGAGGAGAGACGCTTCCACACATTGCGCATTCGAAGAGTGCTGGCCTTCTACATGGAAAGGACGAGGCCCTTTGCAAGTCCACACAGCTCTTTGTGGCCTATGTGGAGTGAGAGAGAGGTTCCCCGATTTACTCCCAGAGACTCTCTAAGTGGATCTCTTCCTGTATCCATATGCACAACTGTGAGTTGACAAGGACCCAGCTGCAGCGCTGATCAGGGCCCACTCTACTAGGCTTCATTACGTGCTTACTTTGTGCATGTACCAATTCAGGACA